TTACAGAATCCCGCTATTAAAATCTCAAATTTAGAGACTTGATACTGTATCACAGTACAGAATCGCACGGTTAAAGTAAGGAATTCACCTCACAAATACAGAACTCACCCTGTTAAATGTTAGCATTTTTAACAGTTATCGACATACTCAACAGGGAATATGAAGAGAAATAAATACATACATATGTACACATATGCATTTTCGGCATATGATGACGTGGCATGTATGCTCAAGCAGAGAATATGGAGAGATATTAATATACATATGTATGTATGCATGCCCATGATTACACTCCCAACGAATGTAAAGAATTTCGTTTTGCTTCTTTAAATGTTTGCTTTCAACCAGGGAATCGCATATGTAGTGCAATGTATGCATATGTAWGTATGTATGCTTTTGTGTTTTGCCCTCAGCAWTTCAATATTGACATGTAAAAATAATTAAGATACAAGTATAATTTTGTGTGAATGCATGCATAATAATACTTATAGTCAATTTCGACTTGCATATTTAATAATTTTATTTGATTTTTACATAATATAATATACTATAAATATTTTGATACTATTTTTCTTACTGATAGAAATTAACTTTATCACAAAAATATATACATATGTATGTATGTACATACATCTTCGATCATATTAATCTTATGTCTCTGTTCATGCTCATATCATAATCTTATTATCTGCTCATATGATTGCATGTATACGCATGTGCGCTTTCAGAAATTCAAATAATGACTTTATCACTTATCAATGTAATACATGTTCGCGCATTGATCTATGTACATGTTCATATATGTATGAACATTAATTTATACTTATATGTACATATATTTGTATACACTTTCGAACAAATAATCCACAAGCATACAAACATGCATATGCGTACACATGTGAATATGTCACCAACAAAAAATTTAAACATTGTTTTACAAAAACAACAATTGTTTAAATAGCCGAAGCATCACTAGTCGATATGGCAGCCAAATTGRCGGAGCCCAAATGTAGTAAATTTTACAACAAAAACAATTTCATTCGGGGGGTATTCTACTCTATAATTTTGAAAAATTCGATTTTTTTCATATATTTAAAGATTAGACCCTTAAGAACATATCCTCCAAAGGAT